CCCCAAAACCCCAAAACCCCAAAACCCCATCATCTTCAAATCTACAAATATCTAACGGCTAAGAATTTAAATTATATTTAATGATATCTGTCAATATTAGCAAACTACTTTTTGTCAATTTAGCTTTAATCTCTGCCACTCACTATTCAAACAGTGAAAGAGGTTTCCTATAAAATCATGTGTAAATCAAGAGCGAAGATCTACTTTAAACTAAAGTCATCTCTGCAAATTCAACTAAACATGTGATTAAAATTCCACTTCATAAAAAGATCAATGATCATGAAGAGCTAGCGAGAGATCTTGGGAGAAGGAAAAAAAATCTTGTTTAAATGTATAGCCCAAACTCCCCACTAGGTACTAACTCATTGCATTAATTAAGCTATCTTGTAGATCCTAGAATGATGGAAGTCCAAATAACCTAAGCAGGTCAGAACAAATCTAGAATAGATTTCCCCTTGTAGAACGTCAAAAATGTCTTGGTAATAGTTACTTGTTCAATTTAAGTATAGTATTGGGGAACTATCAAAGTTGGTAATCCACCTGTAGATTTGAGAGCAGACTTTGATACTGGGTCAACTAATATGTGGATTGTGAGGACTTGCAAATCATAGAACCAACTGAGTGACTCCACAGTCTAGTAGATAGAATCCGATTGCTATGACCCTGCTTAATCATAATCAGCTGTTTAACTAGAAGCAAGCTCAAAGATTACATTTGGTAAAGGACATCTCCAAGGGCCATGGGGTGAGGATTCAGTATGGCTTGGTGAAATGGAAATCAAAAATCAACACATGGCATTCGCTGAAGTATCTGACGCGTTTGCAGATGGAACAGGCATCTTATTAGGTCTAGGCTTCCCATCTATGTCAGCATACTAGTTCACCCCTGCTTTTGATCATATGATGCAGCTGGGAGTGCTGCCTCATAATGTGTTTAGTTTTTCTCTTGGAGTTGTTGAAGACACCCCAAGTCATCTTATATTAGGATAAATCGATGACAGCCAATATCAAGGCAACATAAGCTACTATCCAGTTGTTGATTAATAATTCTGGACTATAAGTCTATAAGATGTGCTTGTAAGTACATTATCACCATTTTCAATTTTAGATTGGGAATTAATCTCTAAATATCTGTTCAAAAGATGATCCTTGCTATGCAGCTTTAGATTCAGGAACATCATTTCTAACTTTTCCACCTGAAAAATATGATAAACTCGCTAAGGAATACCCAAATATCAATTAATGCCTTTTCGGAGTAATGCAGCCAGATCTCACGTAAGAATTAATATTATATTAATTGCCTGTAGTTTCGTTTTTGAAAATGGTGAGAGCTATACTATTCCATCAGACCATTTTATCAAGAAGTATAGAAATTTAGAAAACCCTTAAATGATAGAATGCCATACCGTCATTTCACCTTTGAAACTAGTTAGTTATGCAGGCAATGATATATTTTTACTGGGTGATGTCTTCATGCAATTATTCTATACTATCTTCGACAGAGATCATGCTCGAATAGGACTTGCCAAAGCAGCAAACCCACCCTAATCAAACCGCATATTCTGATGATTATGCAGATTAATTATGGTTGTGTGAATTAGTATTGATTTTTAAAAATCAAAATAATTGATTATTCGCATCATGGGGTTTTGGGGTTTTGGGGTTTTGGGG